CATAAAATAAATTTGACGTAAAAACAAAAAAAAAATACAACAGAGGGAAAAAGAGTCAACGCATTTTAATTTTCCAATCAATTAATTTCTTGCTTTGAGTTTTACTTGTGCTTTACGCATGTATTGATTTCACTAGATGAACGAAGAGCCAGAGAAGCAAAAAAAAAAAAAAAAAAAAACAAAAAAAAAGCAAAAAACCCAAGAAGAATACAAATAAACGAATGAAAAACGTAACAGCACATTGACTTTACGTTAGCCTCCCACCGCACATACGAACGCATGCAAAAACATGTGTGTGTGTGTGCAAGTTTATAAAATAACCCATATGTACTCTGCTTACAATAAATGATGCATGAAAACCCATGGACGTTATTATACCCTATACCGCTTTCAATGCAGAATACAATAACTTTGTGCGGACGCATGTAACATCCAGAGAAGCATACGATAATCTAAACTTTTATTACATCAATCGATATATGATGAATGACTTTAATCCCATCTGCCCATCAATCGGATGACTTTTTTTTTAATATTTTATCATGACAATTTGTCCATGGTAACCGTTTGACTTAAAAAGTAATTGTAGGAAATTTCGATCGCGTAGCTCCGTTGATGAACTTCACTTCATAAAAGTTTCTCACGTTGGCGTAATGAAGATATCATTTTTCAGCAAATAGCTTAAGAATCATGGAATCTTTGATGAAGATATTGGGAATATGTCAGTTCACCGTATAGGTTCCACGCCATGAAATCTACATATTTCACGGAAGTCAAGCATAATTTTTGAAAATAAATTGTAATAAATTGTAATAAGTTGTATTAGGCGAAGCGGTGTAAGGTATTTAATGGTCGTGGTCGCTTGCAATTGTCTCACTTGTTTTTACAATTGTTTGCTTACCGAGTAACGCATACAATAAACCAAATTTAGTGCTAGTAACCTTTTTTGGGAAGTCGAGTCAATTATGTGTAGCTTTGACTCTAACTGCATACGTATAATCAATGCTTAGAATGTATGTACACGAATTTGAACTAATATTGATCGAGTGTTTATGATTACCTGTGCATCTGTACATTCTGTTCTTTTTTTTGTTTTTTTTGTTTTTAGTTTTTTTTTTTTTTAGCTTGTTATAGTTTATTGTACATATACAGGTTATAGTTGCTAGTGTATATATTGTTTTTTTTTTTTTTTTATTATTTCGTCATTCAATGATGTTATTGTTGTAGCTCGGTAGAGATTCAATCAAAGAACAATACAATTGCCTGCACCTTCATCAGCATATAAAAAGTATTACAGCAAACATCTGTGCTCTTTCTATGTACATATATAAGTGAAATATCAAAAGCCAAAAGTTGCATTCAACCGTAAATGCTTCAAAATGTTTGAGTTGCATGATGTATATTCTATTGAAAGTTGATTGGTTAAAATTGTTGGGCTTTCTATTTGAACGCGTGTGTTTATAAATCATGTTTTGGCGTATCGCTATGGTAATATTTCTTATTTATTTTTTATATACATATATACTCTTCTTTTTTTCTTTTTTTTTTTTACACAAGAACCACTTAGTCAAACTCTTTGCAAACTATTTGCAAATGAAATTTAAAAAAAAATCTTAATATATTTTTGGAAATAACAACATATTTCAGTACATAATAAATCTATCGCTATATGAAATATAAAAATGTTCTGAAACTTCTGAAACTGATCCGTAATAAATTTTAAATATCGTGAAAAATAATTTAAATAATGAAATTGAGACAATTGTAATTTCTTCACGGGTTCAAAAGGGAGCACAGTATGCATCTGCAATATAAGTGGAGCTTTCTTCAAATAGGTATGCGAAGCGATCATACAATTTGTGTGGATATCTTGTAAATATGATTAGATATACCAAACGGGTGAAGCTGGGCACTTCAAGAGAATTGCGGAATGCTCCACTATAGATTGGGAGAGCAGACAACCATATTGAAATCTTACCTGAATAGTTCGGATAAATGTTCATGGCTTTGGTAAATCGGTACGCTTATCGCTTCTATTTTTCTCTCTTTCTCTTTTTCTTATTCTTTGTTCTTATGGTTTGCTCTTTATTCTTTATAGGTCTTTGCGCTTCACTTTTTAGTATTTATTCTCTTTCTTGTTATTTTTTCTTATTACCCTTATCTTTACCCGTTCTTTTAACCTTCTCTTTTCTCTTAATCTAGCATATTTCGTTTCCTGTTTTTGTTTTTCGCGCTTTCTTCCTTGTAAGATTATTTTCAATAAATTCGCATTAGGTGTATAATTAATTAATTAATGATGAATTGGTCAGTAAGTCCCGGGACATTTTTCTTTCATTGCAAAAATTCGACTGATCAATATAGTTTCCTTCAAATATCCAAACATTCTCTAAAATTTCGATGTCTTTTCTAAAGAACGATTTCTCAAGAACCTCAAAATGAACTTCCAGTTTCCAAAATAGTCTCATCGTTTTATCCAAATCTTCTCTATTAAGCAACCTTTGGAGCCAGATAACCATGCAATTTTATTTTAGTCATAGATATGTGGCGGGATACGTTATCTTTCTTATTTGCCATTTATGGTAATATTTTTAGAGCCTTTCTTTAATCGAACCAAAAGACCCATAGAACGTTCGCTATACATCGGATTATAAGGCGATTTTTCACTTTTCTTTCGCATTACTTCGTTTTCACTAGTTTTCCTTTCCAATCAGCGAACTGTCGATTTGACAAGTGACATGTTTAATGGTGAACACGTGCGATGGTCGCATCAAGCTTCGTATAGTTCATTAATTTGCTCCACTATAAGCGAAAAATAGCTTTCTTATACCCATATTTTTAAGCAAAATAGTGAGTACACGGCTTTTCGATATCTTGAGGATGCGAGCATATCTCTGGCAACTTCACTTTTCGATCAGGTTTGTTTTAATAAGGTTTTCTTCTGAAGAAGACACCTTTCGCTCAGCATCCCGACAAAATTTCTGTTTTCGAGGGAGAAGAGTTGCTGTAAACCTGTTCAAGCCATAGTTGAGTTTAAACGATGTTCTTTCCCACTAAAATGTTCATTGTTAAAGTAACACACAAAATCAAAATATTTCCGTGGTATTCGAAAAAACAAATTCAGTATCGAGTTTCAATTTAGCTGTAAAGGCTGTAAAGAACATACCTAGAACCTAAATCATTTGAACTTTGCTTTCATGTCTTGCTTTCATGGTTCTGAGTTTTTGACTTGTAAAAAATTGTTCAAGCAGCACAGCAGAGAAAATTACCATTTTCAAAATAAAATGAATATGAGTCATGCACAAATCACTGAAATGATATGGAATTTTCACAAACGTTGTAGATACTTGCTAAATGTGATATGAATGCAGCTTGTTGTCAATCCGAACAATTTCTTATATCATTTACCGCTTTGAATTGAAGAGAGCCCTAAATGAAAGTCTGCTTTAATACAATTGATTATAATACAGTATTATTCTGAATTCGTTCAGAAATCAAGTGGAAATCTCCTTTTATCTTACACATTATCATATAAACTCACCTTTTTGTCATGAATGAAATTTTCAATATTTTTTTTTTATTATAAATTTAGTTGCTTTAGAGAATCTAGTTTGAATCAGCTTTAAGCTTCTCGTTATAGTGTACGTTATTCAACTGTTTAAGAGAGCATTTTATAGCTAACGCTGGCACTAAGCAGATGATGCCGAGAAAACATGAATAAAGTAATGAAGATATTTAAAGGATCAAAGTGTTGCTATATGCTAAGCGCTTGATTATTCTGAATATTGAAAAGTAAAAGTAAGCATGCCCCTTACTGTTAATGTCATCTTTCGCGTTCTCAACAATAATGAAACTTCAAATGTTTGTTCGTATTGCGAAGAACGTATGGCGCAATGTTAGCAATTAAGTAACAGAGAAGACTTCAACACGACTGCCTTTTGATAAATTAAAAAGTTTTCATTCTTAGGATAAATCGTTTTAAAGGCAATTTAATTAACAAAATAAAATGATGGAAGTTCAATGAAGATTGACATATTAACATAACAAAAACAAAAAATACTTTTAGATAATTTGCCTTTACTTGATATTCCAAAGGAAGAAGCGTTAAAATGGTTTCATCATTTTCTAATATTAAATTACAATAAATTTTGGGCAGAGTGACTTATTTTAATTAAAAGCGACATTTTTTCCTCCTTATATTTAACATGGGCAATTCAATCCCTTCGCTGCATCAGTAATGATCTTCTCTTCTCTTCTCTTCTCTTCTCTTCTCGCTTTAAAGTTAATTATATGCGAATTCCCCCAGCTATCTCACCAGTGGCATTTTGTGCGTATTCAAAATGAAAATTATTAGCACACAAATGAAATGCTCAATTGGACCACAAAACCGCCAGTCTTTAGTTAACCTCAACTCAACTCAGCATCAACCATCATCGCTGCCTCAACTCGACAACCACAAATAATTATAAACAATGGTTTGATTATTAAATATGGAGCAAAGTGTGTGTTATCGATGCGTCGATGTCATTCATTCATCCGTTCATTCACTCATTCGTTAGCTGTGATAGATAATGAAAAAATTAAATATTGAAAATTTACAACAAAAAATTCAAAAACCAGTGGGAATATGAGGAAGAAACACGATTATGTATAACGAAAACATGAAAATAAACCATAATTAGATATGTATTCGTTGTTAACATAGGGAAAAGTAGGAAGAGCTGCATATAAATTGTATACATTACAGCAACTCTAATAATCAACACATAAATATAGACATACAGACATGCATACATACATACATACATACGTACGTAATATTGTCTAAAATAATAAAATTGTGTTAACAGGAGCGTGTAATGTGCAGATGAAAAATGCATCCAAATAAATATTGCATCGCTACTATCAAAAATTTTTCTTAGTTATTGAATTTTTATTTATTTATTTTTTGTTTTTGTTTTTTTTCTTTTTTTTTCTCTTTTTTCATGTATTGCCAAAATTAGCAATAACAGAAAATGCTGATGACACTAATGATACAGCAAAAGCAACACAGCGTAATTACGCTAACAATGACAATGATGATGGCAATGATGATGGCAATGATGATGATGATGATGATGACGATGATCCTGCTATTCATAATTGTCATTATGACGATGACTACGGCGATGATGACGGTGGTCATTTGATGCTTTGTGTATCTGTTTTACGATAACGTATCCCATTATTGAACGACGCTAGGAACAACTATTATCTGTCTACTGCATCGTAATGAATGCCTTATATGCTTAGCAGGCAGTGTGCTTGTGCGCTTATTGATGATTATTAGTGCAACTATGACACCAACAGTTTCAGTCTGTCATACGAAGCGATATTTTCAAAAAGAAATTATTTATGGTTTATTTCATCAAATGTTTTTTTTTTTTCTTTTTTTTTTACTCGACCGATAACTTATGATGTGTTTTCCTTTGTCTTTGCAGGATAAATGAATGGAGATAATTTATTTAGGAATTACGAGAATCCACGTACAAATAGGATAGAAAGCGCGTCCTATAAATTAATAGAATTTGATATTTTATATGGAAAAGATTTGTAAGGTTTTCTTATTAAGGGCATCATCCTCTCCGATTGAATTGCATTTCCCATAATTCGAATCGAATGCTTCATCGATGCGATGACTCATTGTCCTGGCTTCCTAGAGCACCTGTCATAAGCATCGTATTCTTCTGAAATGTGCAAAAAAAACTTGAAAGGGAGTGGCATTTTCTGTTAACTGCTGTGACCTGAATTTACTGGTTGAGAAGGAATACAGTTATGCGAAGCTTTTGGAAGACACATCCATACAAATAAAAGCCAACTTTTATGGGTGGCTCTCCATAAGTCGTTAAGAATAATTTCGCGTCCAAAAATACTTACGTAATCCAAAAAAGTTTGGAGTCTGAAAATATCTCATAACTCCTAAGTTCGACTTAATGTCCAGCATGTCTATATTTCATTATAGCGAGACGTTTTTTAATTTTTTTCAGTGTTGATTTGCTCTAAACACAACTTTTCATAAAGGGTTCAATTATTTTCTAAGGACGTCATACGAAGAGATACAATCGAAGGCAACCCTCTAAGACCGTAAGAAATGAAAATAGTACAGAATTTTTAATACCTATTAGCACCAATGAGTTTTGGGCTTTAATCGACTGCTAACCAAAGCGAAAGTCCGTTGATGGTATTGTTTAGACTTGAAGTTATATATATGCACAACGCTCTGTATATATATATATATATATATATATACATAAATTTTTGAAAATTTTTTCATTAAGAAAAAAAGAAAAAGAAGACAAGGATCGTGTCAAACATCGGATTTAATAGTTGATGTAAAAGCAAGTGAAACGCTGTTGTTATCTTGCCCTGCACCATTCCGCTTTGTGTAGTTATCCATGTAAAAATTTTTCAAAATGATGCGTAAGAAGTAGTCAAAAAATTGATTCGATCCGAATGGCTCTCGAAATATCTGTCCTTCGATCAAAACGCGCCTACCAAAATATCTCAAAAATTGCAACCTGTAGATTGAACCTAAGAACACAAGACGAACAGACGGAGAGACGGACAGACAAGCTTGAATCGATTCAGAAAAAAAAAGGTGGACCTGCATCAAGTCCTTCTGGAAGTTGCATACATCAACATAAACTTAAAATACTCTTGTACTTGTAATATAACCTTGTACTTAATATACCCATGTACGGGAAGCTTTGCATTTTTCATGAGTTTTCTTTTCCTTCTCGATTTCCTGCATTGGTTTTAGATGTTTTTACTTAATTTCACTTTTTCCACTTTGAATTTTTTGTGGAACAAATTGAAATACAGATGAACTGACGCACTATCTTGAATATATTTACTTGATGTCTCTAGACTAGATCCACATTATCTTCATTTATATGATAAAGTTGAGTAAAGCGTTCGATTTCGGTAGAGAGCGAGATGGCCCAATCCACCGACACAATATTATCTAATTTACTAAAATAAAGGTCCATTTCTGGGATAGCACAAATCTTCTATGATAGTAATAATATCACGTATCAACAAATTTTGATCATCAGGTTTTAAGTGAAACAAACAATAAAACCAAAACTAATTTATTTTTCTTTTATTTTTATCAATAAAAGCAAATGTAGTAAACATAAAAAAGAAGAAATCGTAAAAAAAGAAGAACTTCGAGTTATTTAGTGAAATATGAAAACTTTAATGAAAATAAACAAAAAAAAAAAAAACAACATTCCAAATGATATTTCTTTCTTGCATCATCAAAGTTGAAGAGAATCGAAAACGAAGACTAACGAAAAATTCTAGAGATATTTAAGTGTTGAATTAATTAGAGAAAGGCAAAGTGTTAAATGAATTTGAAAAGGAAAAATAAAAACCAAAAGAAAGAAGAGTAATGGAAAAAATATGTTTGTAATGGAAATGTAAAACTCCATAGGAAAAAAAAAAAAAAAAAAAACCATAAATCATATTAACAAGAAAATCATCATAATATAAAGAGAGGAAAGAAAAAACAACAGACAAGAGACAAGAAAATCTCGACCAAAGGCATAATTTAACTAATTTGCAAATTTCAAGAAAAAATTTTATAAGTACTTGCGAAAATTTTTGCAATTACCATTGGAGAATGAAAACAATATTAAATTTGTTCTTTCACCTGCAACGTCCGAAATTATTCGCCAGAAATCTTAGAAGACATGTATGCGCAATACTCAAAATTGATTCTTCTAAGCTCTTTCAGCGATCACCTAAGGGCCGTTACAGCGCTCACAATCGCCAACATTCGGGGTCACATATCAAGTTTGAAATGGGTATCGAATAAAAAACTGCAAGACCTATCACTTCGTGGTTAGATGTTGATCTAAAACATGATTGAAGTCTTTAGAGTCCATAGCTAAGAACTGAATGTAAAAACCCAGCTAAGAGGTAAATCTAGACCAATTTCTTAGTGAGTAATGAAGATCCAATGTACAAATTTTTATGTCTACCCTTTTGTGCGTATTGTCGGTTACTTTTTGACATTATATGGTTTCTTTTCGGATTATGGAGAATATTGTCCTGCATATCACCTTGCGAAAATACGCAGTTGCACAGATGCACAGAAACTGCTTAGACTTGTCTGAAACACAAATGGACAAATTTTAGTGGGCAACAGCCTATCATTATATAGCCTCCATCACTTCACTTAATACAGTTGTTCATATAACAACTTTTCAAAATAGGACTTTATACGGGGAGCGGTCAGCCCTGTAGGTTGAACATAAAAGCTAAGACAGACAAATTGTATAATAATAAAAAGTAGGTCTATCTCAAGCCCTTCTTTAAACTCAATACACACTTGTTCCTTCGTGGTGTTGGGCGTAATTGTGAATATATTCGGAGGACGCTTCGCACATAAAGAAGCATATTTATGGTACCGTGCGAACTATTCATAATGTAATTGAAAAATTCGAGTCAAATAGTAGTGCCTGTGATGTTAAAAATCCAACCTGCCGAAAACGCGAAACGCACTGCTAGAGAAATCGATGTATGAACCAAAGCTTAGCTAAACCATCACATTGCTGTTACTGTCAATGAGAAGCGCACAAAAGCATGGTTATTCCTATTCCGTGCCATAAGCTATATGATTTCGAGTTGAACGATATAAAATTTTAATAAAACAATGCAAGCAAGCATGCCTTGCCTCAATCAATTTATTGTTAGAAAAGTTCAATTATCGTGTGGTCTTCAAAAATGACGATGAGAACTGGCCACGATGCGGCATAACTTCATTGAAAATTATCTCCTAGGATTATATTAAGTGATACCACAAACACTCAATAGTTTTAAAGTCAATTATGTTCATGTTATTGGTGAAATAAATACAGATTTTTGTGAGAAAGTATCTAAAAATAACTGCTCCAGATTAGACGAATTTTAGAGAAATGCAAAGGCGGTAATTTCTTTATTTATTTATTTGTTTATTTACTTATTTATGTATTTAAAGATTTTCGCTACAAATATAATATATTTAGTCAACTTATTCATCTAATGCTTACAATTGCAATTATAATCGTAAAGATAACAATAATAACAATGCATCCCATAATAAACTTAAATATAAAACAATAACTTAAGTACATATTCTTTAGCAAGCATTTGCGGGGAAAGGCACGATCTTTTAAGCACCTACGCATTTAGTGCACTTATGTGAGAAAGGAAAGCCAAAGGCAAAAGAATATCTATCGTAAACATCAGCGACTACGGTGAACCCATAGTAGTTGTCATTACACATTTGACAAAGGATATAAAAAAGATTAAGTCAAATAATGCCAAGCACACCTTTCCGGACACACATGTGTCTGCATGAGGTTACCTGTTATTAAAAAAAAGTGTTGAAAGAAAAGCAGTCACTGATATGGACAGGGATTGCTGTCAATAATTTTTCCCCAACAAAAGCATGTACTTACATATGTATCCATAAACGTGGGTTCAATTTTTCGCAAGAAGTTTTAACAATCTGTTTACGCTATGCAACTATGTATGTCTTCGATTCCAT